CCAAGATGATGCATCTCTTCATCAGCACGCGTCAAGAAATCGAGCACTTTCTTTTAGGTATTTATTTTTTTCCCTTCAAAAGTGTGGCTACTTTCAGGGTGATCAGGAGGGTGCGCATTGGGCATGTGGCGGCAACCAGTGGCAGCCACAGTAACTGCGCATCTATCGATCTTCAAGTCAGCCAACTGCCATACACTTGAGTATATAGAGCACTAATATGGGTATGTGGAATCATTTGTAGAGAAGAGGGATTGATCATCGAGGGCCGAGCTGTACAGCAGAGGCGCACACTTTGCGGTGTTCACGCAGTGACGCTCAAGGTTGTCTAGCGTGCACGCCCATGCACTGCAATACGTCATTAGCATATGTCCAGACCACGGGCATACAACCGTGCAGGCTGCGGCGTGCATGTGATGCAATTTGTGTAGGTTTTTGTAGATGCAGAAGCATTTTACACTTTGAATTTTCAACAAGGTGGTACATAATGCAGCTGACAGCCCCTGTGATAATTCAGGATTGCTGAATACTGGCTCCAGTAGGCATAAGGAATGTTTGGCTATGCATAAAATTTCTGCAGGCTATACTTGAACATCAGCGAAGCGAGGAGATGGCAAGACAGAAAAACCTTAATAATTCGAGGTCTGCCAGACCACAAAAATTTTTTGAATTCAGTAGAGTTTCATACGAACCAATTTGAAGAAAAAAATCAAGAACACGCTGAGAGATAAAATCCCTTTTATTGTCCACGGCAGAGAGTGGTCGCTTTTTATTACTACTGATGTTGGATTGTTACTTGGTGCAGTGAGTTAGCTGCCTCAAGTGCCATGCTCTCTCCAGCCCACTCACACTTGGCATTTCACAATGACCACTGTTGCACTCAACAAAGCAGCGGAAGGTCTTTACGGCATCTACAACTGCTGCTGAAGCAGATGACTGAGGAAGGTTTGCTATAGTCACTGCCATCGCTATCATTGCTGACTAGGCGTCACTGTTGACGATTTCGTAGTGCACATCAGTGTACAATGCCTCAACATTGGAATGTTCCACAAAGCCTCGACTGCCACCAATGTCTTCACCAGGGCCACTGATCGGGGTACACAAGTCTCCCTCCTCATCTAGGCAGGAAAAGTTGCAAGCGTCATCCCAAACCACGCCACCTAGCTTTCGAAATCCAGCATGTTCGAAGCAGTGCATTGTGACCTTTGCCTCCAACTCTTACCAGGCAAAGACCTTTAAATAAATTGCATAGGGGAGTTCGATGTTGTATTGCTTTGCATGGGCATACTACAGTAGAACGTGCTCCAGTAAGTGGTGGCAGTTATCTTCCTTGTTTGCACTATACCCCGTGGTCCACTGGCTGCAATATAATTGGTGTGTTTGCAGACAGAAAGACCATCCCAAGGGCTTCAAGGTTCCTAATGCCACCGTGGGCTAGGCGGTTGGTTGATAATAAAGAGCACTTTTTACCCTTTGGCCGGAAACTCCTTGTCAAGAAGCAGGACATACCTCCCAAATGCCACCCTTAAGCAAGACTTGTCATCCAGGAAGGCAGTGAAAAAATAAAACATGCCAATGTTGCTCAACGAACTACCATTCCCTCCAAGATGTGCACTTATAAAAGGCTATCACGGAAAATAAAAAAAAATTATACACGTGGAGCCTTGCATGACTGCTAAGAAGTTCAAGTGAACCAAAATTTTGATTTAGCCAAAATCAAATTAGCGATGTTTTACTGCGTGAGGGGATGTTTTTTTTTTTTTTTTTTTACGGCAAAGCTGTCGTGCTTCACCCTGTGCTATTGTCACCACTGTTGCAGTAGTAGAGGAAGGCATCAATCACGTCACACAAGGGGTGTGAGACACAATGGAAAGGGCTACACCTCCCCGCCGAGAAGGGTGAGAAAGGCTTGCTTCGGCAGGAAGAAGGCGAGGAGCACCAGTGTACACTCGCCTGCATGGGGAGACGGTGTGCAACGATGCCTTGCCAAACTTCACTTGCGAGGAAGGGTTGTGACACACGTGGGATCAGTGACGCACACAGTGTTACATTGTCCGCTCTTGCACGAGGCATCACGGGAGCTGTAGTTGCAGTGAGTGCCACCAGTGTGGCATTTGCCGCAGTGTGGCGCTGGTGCTATGCTTGTCATGCACAGTAACACATGCATAGTAGCAGAAAGTTTGTGTGCGCCACGCTCAAACTTTGCCATGCATAGCAGCAGAGCTTGCAACGCTACTTGCACTCCAATGGAGATCTGACAGTAATACATGTTTTTAGTGTGTGGTTAGATGGAATGCGCCATGGCCATACCGTTACACTACTGTAGCATTCTTGCACATGTCAATGATCATACTGTCACGTGCAATCCATGGAGCTCAATGTGAAGAACAAAGAAACAACAAAGAAACGCTCAGTAAAAACTTTGCTGAAGTTTCGGAACACGCTGTCCAACAAGGTTAAGGCATGGAACTGGCTCAAACGTTAAAATTTTAGAATTTCTCTAGCAGTTTGTAGTTGGGAATGTGAATTACATGCAGCGGCATGTTGTACACAAGACAATATAAAACCTTTGTTGTGTGTGTATTCCAGTACAGTTGAATGCGGATATATCGAACTCTAAAAGAATCGCAAATTAGTTCGATATATGAAAAATTTGATATAAAAAATACAGGCCCCAGGAGCTTACCTGCAGCGAACCATCACCTACAATAGCAATTTAAGAATGACAACTAATTCCATGCACATGCCGCAATAGAATGATTTATTTGCGTGAAAAAAAAAAACAAAAAAAAAAAAAACTCGGATTTTGGCTCGCTCTTTTGTTTCAGAAGTGAAGTTGAAGACGCTCGTCTCGAGCTTATCAAGGCTGTCCAGGTGTGACAGCCCGGTTCCCTCCATGTGGGCAATACAACAGCGGATGACGCCGCACACTGATGCCACTTCAGCGGCGGAGTACGCGCGTGTAGCCAGCGACTTGTCTGGACGATTTTCCTCATCACATGAGCTGTCACTCTGGACATTGCAGTCCGCTTTCACGAAGTAGGCCACAGACACTTCGTGTGGAACTGCTGCCAGAAAAAAGGACAACAATTTGCAAAAAGCGTCGTTTATGCACTTGTCGTCGCCGTCTTCACCGGTTTTCCGCAAGTTCCGCCATCTCAAAGCCTGCCTTGCGGAAGCAGCTGATCACTGTGTCCGTCTTCACGTCTCGCCAGGAGTTGAAGATCTCCGTGGGAGAAAACTACACGGAGATTTCCGGCCACTTCGTCATTCACTGCTAGATGTCCTGACTGCTGACAGCTTCTTTTTGCCAGAAATGGTCTTGCCAATAATTTTGTAGTGCTGCTCAAATCAGTGAAGCCACCCGGTGTTGTCGGCGAAGTTGTCTTCACCGAGTGCAGCCGCAAACTGTTTGGCCTTGGCCATCAGCATCGGGCCGTCCAGCGGAATGTTCTTCGTGTACACTTCTAAAAACCAGACATAGAGTGCCTTTTCTACATTCCCACGCACATGACAGGCTTCCGACGTTCGCTGCACCGCCGCCTTTGCCTTGATATCCAGAGTGCTCCGTGGTATCGCGAAGTTGTCCGCGACGGTCGAACATTTCTCGCCCGGCTTAACACGCCTCAACCTTAAACTTTGTCACAAATTCAAGGGTCTTGCGCTTCTTGACGTTGCCCATAGCTACATGAGAAGTGTCACAAATTCAAGGGTCTTGCGCTTCTTGACGTTGCCCATAGCTACATGAGAAGTCGACCATTCAAGGAGTCTGCAGCGGCTTTGCCCACCACGCATGCAAAAAAGAAATGCAACACATGCGGTGGCATGCAGGCGACGCGACAATGGAAGCAACAAAGCGCCCGAAAGGTGATGGCCGCCTGCGCGGGCAACAGCAAAAGACGCGAGCTGTCATTGGCTGATCAAAACTCAAAATAAAAGGCGAAAAAGATGTTGGCTCCTTTGTTCCTGCTCTCAGAGCAGGCATGAGAGAGAGAGAAAGAGAGAGAAAGAGAGAAACCGAAAAAAAGAAAAAGCTGTTCCGCAAGTTAGAGACCCTGCAGTTCGAGCCCTCTCGTTCTTACCTTTTTTCGAGCATTTCGGGTTTGGGAGGAGGTGTGGTGCAGCGCGGAGGTCGCTGGCGCAGCAGTGACAAAACACACTTTCGAATTCGCGCCCGGAGTTGTGCTGCCGCGGAGAAGGCGGGGTGGGGTGCGACGAGTGTCAAAGCCCACCTTCCAGCTCGCGTGGCATTCGATATATCCGAAGGCAGGTAAATATACCGTTTGATATAAAGGTGCGAATTTCTATACTTTTACAAAGGAACTTCAAGGGGATAATTTACGAGTTTGATATACCTGAAAATTCAATAAACGTGGGTTCGATATATCAATGTTCGACTGTACCAACCCAACGAGAAGTTTCCTCTTTAAGTTCGTAATGTCTGAAGTGGCAAGAGCACCATAGTGCAGCCTGATGTGCAGTGGAAGTCATTGTGAGGTGCAAATACTGTGCATGCAGCCTCGATGTCTCAAAAGTCAATTTTATTCTATGTTGTAAAAAAAAAAACGAGAATGCCTGGAGCATTATTAGCTTTATACCCACATTTAAACACATGCTGCATTATTCATGTGACTGGTGCACACCCAGCCTTTGTAGTCAAATGTGAAAGGTGCCAGCATGCCCGAGGATTCAAACTTTGCCTAATGCCAAGTGGCTTCAGTCCTGCGTGTCACAACCGATTGCTGATCAACGAACACACTACTGGCAAATTTTCCCGTAATGGCTACCTGCCCAGAGCACCCAAAACGATGCCAATCTAAATCAGATGTATCCCAGTTTTGTCACCCATGCAACAGCATCCAGTGTCAGAATACCCTCGTGGCAATCCTAGAAACACTGTGATGTGCGGAAAGGGGTGGCACCTGTTGGGGCACTGCACCAAGGGCTCTACTAGAATCTAGCCGCCTCCTCCTTGGGAGCCTATGTGGGACCGCGTCACTCACCATCTTTGTCTTGGACTGCTGCTGCTTGCGGTGGGCGTCGATGACCTGCTTGACGGCTGCAAACAGGCCCTCCTGGTCGTTGGCCACCATGCCCATGAACAAGTTCTTATCGGCCATGTACACCACCAGCATGAGCTTCAGGTCAGCCGGCGGACTCGCAAAGTGCACCAGGCCCAGCCAGGCCGACCCCATGAAGCGCGACAGCTTGACGAGGCCCTCACCCGGTTCGAAGGACATCACCACGCCACGTGATGCATTCTTCACCGCCAGCACCACGTTCATCAGCATTGACCGCGGCATCAGCTGCAAGGTCAGTTTAGGTGGCCACTTGTCCGCACATCTGCATCCCGCCATCAAGATATATTGGAAAACGACTGACACACTTTCTTTTTTACTACACATTTTCGGAATTAAACGAAGCTTCAAGACCACAAAAGCATGCAATACGAGACATGACACCTTTTCTACAGTCATGATTCTATTTACAAAAACTACACTGCATCGTGAAGTCAAATGAGAAGATGCCCATGAAAGGATAGAAGCTCGTGGCGTGTGGCTGTGCACCCTCTCTACCAGTTACCTTTACACACACCTTACTGCGTGCGTCCAGTTTTGCCTCTCCCTTCACGCCGTTAGCACTGGGCTAACTGGATTCATGGTAGGTGTTGTGTTTCCATATTAGCCCCCTCATGGCGTGTTGTAGTTTTGTGTTGGCAACATTAATAGCGCCCAACGACGTCACAAACTTAATATAGAGCGACTGCAGCAAGCGGCTCAGCCAGCTTTTGAGTTGCATTGACACAATATCGACGTGCCTTACTCCCGCAATATAATAGTAGGTCAGCATTTATTGCCAGCTCCCTTTCCGGACCATCATCGCTGATTGACTTTTCGCTAGCAGCTGCCAAACTAAAGCATAATTAGTTTTAAGACGAGTACGTACATTTCAGGCTCGCCATTGATGACGCTGGCAAAGATGCTGCACTGGAGAGTGTACACGTTTCGTGGGTTTCCTGGCATTTTGTCCTGGTACTCTACCTGGCCTTGCCACACTACTCGCCGCTCTTTCAGGCTTGCTGCGGGACCCGCCTGCACAACAAGCCATAGAGGACAGACAAACTGAGCACGGCCAAACAGAAATGATCGATACATAAAACCATACCAAGCTAAGAGGTAATGAACTTAAGGGGAAGTTATCTGCTGCCTCATTAAAAAGAAAAATGGCACTCGAATTTTTTTTATTTCTTGATCAATTTTGATGAAATTTGGTGAATTTATGGATATTAGTGTGCTGATTTCATGCATGAAATAATTTTTTTGTATAAAGCATAGTTTCTAAATTATAAAATATTTCATGAGCCTTTTGGGGATCAAGTTATTCTTCTAAGCTAAGAGAGTTAACTAAAAAGAGACATGACACTTGAATTTTTTTATTTCTTGTTCAATTTTGATGAAATTTGATGAATCTATGGATATTTATGTACTGATTTCATGTATGCATTTTTTTTTGTATAAAGCATAGTTTTTAAAATACAAAATATTTCACGAGCCTTTTGGGGAGCAAGTTCTTTTTCTAAACTAAGAGAGTTACAAAGCAGATCAGCACATCACAATAATCTGGATTCAAAGTAGATCGCAGTGCAATGAGAATGTATGTTCTAAACCCATTTTGTACTTTATACACAACACCTTACACAAGAAAAACAACTGCAAATTGCAAATCACCCCTAAAATATATATAAACTCAACAAGTTTCATTAAAATCAATCAAGAAATAAACTTTCTTTAAGAGCAGTGTCTAAATTGAAATTTAGAGGCAATAACGTAAACAACAATGAAGGTAAGCTGAGGAAAAAAAAAAGGAAGAAAGAAAGACAAGTTGAAATTGGCAAGTGTTGAATATACATCTTCCATGCATGTCTGCTCTTACTTACATTTTCGTAAAAAAAAAGATAAATATTAAACCTCTGTTCAGCTAAATTCAATACAGTGCAGACCACCTATAACATAAGTCACCACAGTTATCTGCACTATAAGCAGCACCACATTTCAACAAAGACAACCTTTTACAAAGGCTGCCTATATTCAAAACATGCTGAGCAAGCAGCTGTGTGAATCTGATATTTGATACATACGATGAGGACGTTTGCCGTTTCGTAACCACAAGAATTATTGCTGGCCGAACCTACCTGCACCTAAACTAATTAAAGTTACTCTGAGCCTGGACTCGGACTGCGACCCATGGGTTAGCAAGTGTGGAAGCGAGCCTGAGCAAGTTTGCCAACCTACATCGCCCACTACTATTTGTTTTCTAAAAGGCTGCTCACTTTCAAGAGTACAAAAGTGAGCAGTTGTATAATATGCCTCACAATATGAACAGCTGTAGAGTCAAAGTGACCTTCAGCTGCCGTCTGTGACTCACCCCGGGTGGTGGCTGCTGTTGCTGTTGCTGGGGCTGCATTCCCTGCGGGGGTCCACCACCTCCCATCATGGGTGGCCCCTGGGGCGGCTGCTGTGGGGGGCCCTTGGGGGGCTGCTGCTGCTGCTGAGCCTGCTGCTGCTGTTGCTGTTGAGCCTGCTGCTGGGAAAGAGGGGGTCCTGGTGGGAACTGGCTCCCTGGGGGTCCACCCTGGGGCATCTGGCTCAGCTGTGCGGCCAGGGTGCTGGAGGGAGGGGCGGCCGGTCCCGTAGGGGGCATTCCCTGCTGGGACATTTGTGAACCAGCCCCGACCAGGGGGTTGCCTCCTTGGCCTACTACCCCTGGAGGGCCACCTCCGGGAGGCACACCCATTCGCATGGAGGGCCCCCGGAAGCCTGTGGGACAAAAACAAATGAAGCAAAAATACCTACTGAAAACGTCCCCATAATGCCACACTCATTGGTGCACATAAACTAATGTGTTTGCAGTGTTACTACAAGATGTAAATGTGGTAGTAAAGTGAGCCCAATGCAAAATGCTCCCTTCGTACAACATTTCAGTGCTAAAAAGCCAGTGGTTTGGCTGGGTTCTGCACACGTGATGCTGCTATTTATGCAACAGTAAGCGCTGTGCCTTTCGAATATGTGCAATATTTGTGCACAATCTGAAATAAGATCTACGCTTGTGCGAATATTCGAGTGCTTCGAATATTCGAATAAATAGTAGAATGTTCTAATTCGCTTCGATACGAATTAAAACTATTCAAAACTTTGAAGTATTCGCAAGGAACGAATAGGTGCATATTATTCCGAATGTACCACTTGTAAAAGTGGTTTCCCTGCAGTGTAGGAGTGCATAAATGTGAGAGTACGTACCTAAGAGAAATTCGCTCTGCTGTGAAGCCCCCCTTCAAATTTAAAGAGGCCCAGCAACACTTTTTGAGCATTGTCAAAAAACGCTGCCGATCGGTAGTCGAGGCTACCCAGGACCCGCAAGCCAAATATTATAACGCAGTACGTGGCGTGCGATTCACAAGAAATTCTCAAAGCCAGATAAAGATTGCTCTCTTCTTTCGGCAAATGACTCCACAAGCTCAGAAAGCATGTGTGACGCATTTTCTTTCTCCGTGCCATTTCTCCTTGCTTAGCTTCCAGCGCTTTCGTCGAGACGAGAAGAGAGAACGCACGTGCAGCATGAAATAAATCTGCAACTCCGCGCGTACTGGATGGATTCTAAAAATATTAGGGGCGATGAATCCATGAGGCAACAAATAAGCTTTTTTAGTGAATCCATTCCATGGCTACTTGAAAAAGTGTCGCACAGCCCTATTTAAATGAAAATATTACTCTCAAATCAATTCATTTCATTAAGCTTAAAAGCTAGTTATGAAGGCTTATATGCTCTAAGTATAATAAATTTTAAAATGTCAAGTATTTTAGGGTTATGACTCGCATCCTGCTGAAAGCACAATTCTGTTACTATTCTAAGTTCTTTTGACTTTTTTTGAACAACAAAAAAAATAGCATTTGCACAAGGGCCCTATTTCTATTAAAAAAAAATATTGTGCAGGTTAGTTTGGTCATGATAAATATGCCCATTTTTCTTTATATATCATATATACTTTTGAAATTTGATTCGAAATTATTTGACAAAAATCAATATTCCCTTCAAACTTAAAATTCACTATTCGCACAAGCCTAGCAAGATCTAGACTATTCATAAGTGCCGTACCATCCTTGCAGGTTTACAATAGCACTGTGAAAACAGTAAAATTAATTATGCTCAGGCATTCCCAGCTGCTGGTGTACAACACTACATATGCAAGTGCAAGAAGTATCAGCTTAGAAATACGATGCAGATGCAATGCACACATAGCAATGCTGGTAAAATGCAGCAGTCAATTAAGCCTCATGCAATGTATACAATTGCATTTATAGTTATACTATTCATTGTGTAGGAGGAGGAAGATGTATGTTGCCGGCAGGTCTAGCCTTCTCTAATGCAATATTTATGCACATGCATTGCACACATCCCAACTTTATTACCAGGCAATGTTTGCGCAAGCTCACTATAAATACCACTGACATGTTTTGCCAAAATGCAAACAGCGCAGCTGCCTGCATTCAAAGTCCATTAAAAAACACACAGTGTCAGACATTGGTGCTGCAAAGTAAGGCACTGTTTAATTTTTGTCTTAATAAGTATCTCTAAGGACAGCGCAAGAGAAAGTGATAGGGCAAGCTGTTCCTTGCCAGCATCATTCCTGTACATGTTGCAGTCTAGTCTAACATAACGTAGTGTGCAGTGCATGTGCTGTAATGAGTGCTCTACACAACGAGATGCACAAACCAACTAAAATGACAGTAGCGACAGCATTGATTGGCAACCGCAAAGATGATTCACAAAGAGACCTCTGCCTGCATGAAGGAGATGGGGAAGAACGCCCTCACCAGTCTGCATCTGAGGCCCCGTAGCACAGCTGACGGGTGTGGGGTGTGTGGGCCTCATCTGCTGCGGAGGTCCACTGGCCATCGGAGCATTGGACAGCTGGCTAGCCAGCAGGGGCATGCTGGTCTGCGTTGGGGGTGGAGGAGTCGACACCGGCGGACCACCCGAGACCACCGGAGACACCACACCTTGCGGCGGCTGCTGGCTCCAGGGCAGACGTACCGTTCCTGCCGCACCTCCTGCTTCGAAGCGTTGCAAAAGGCAAGTGTGGCAACACCGCAACCGTAGCAATGCAGTGGGCCAGCCCTGCTGTTTCAGGCTCAAGTGTTCCCACCCAACCATGAGGTGACTGACAATTACTCCAGGATCAGCACAAGTGAAGTGTAAGCCCTTATTGGCAGCTGTGAGTGCTCACCTGACGTCTTTCTTTAGTGGACAGAGCAAAATCGAATAAATGAGTTCAATGGACTTTAAAGTGACCCTGCAACACTGTTTGAGCATGGTGAGAAAATGCTGCCAATCGGTAGTCAATGAGGCTACGAAGGACACGTGAGCCAAACATTACCATGAAGGAAAGAAGCGTACATTTAAGAGCCTGTTTTCTCTGTTAGACGCAATCTTAATGGATTCTAACAAACAATCATGCCGAGGAAAGTACAGGGGATGTTATTAGAATTGTAACGTGAATGTGAAAATAAAAGCGGACAAAAAGATAACTTGCCATGGGCACGAACTTGACCTGCAACCTTTGAATAACGCGTCCGATGCTTTAACAACTGAGCTACCACTGCGGCTATCGCCTCGTCCACTTCATAGGGTATATATGTGCATTGAACGTGGTAGTGTCAGTGAGCACCAGCTGTAGCGATGAGAGCGAGTGTGGAACATTCTTTATCAGCCTGGTTTGGCGTCGTGTAGCACGTGAACTTATTACGTTCGGGCTACTGACCAACAGTCCTTCGTATACTACCTGAACGCCGCCGTGGTAGCTCAGTTGCTTGGGCGTTGGGCGCGTTATTCGAAAGTCGCAGGTTCGGTCCGTGCCCACGGCAAGTTATCTTTTTGTGCACTTTTCTTTCTTGAAATTTCCATTACAAACGGTACATTCCAACACATGGAATAAAGCTTATAATTATTTCACAAAGTCGGCCTATTTCACAAAAGTACTCCCTCTTTTATCAACAAATCATGCAATAAACCCATATGATGGCTCCATTAACCCAAAGCCAAGAGTCACTAATTGATGCGAGATTCGTGAGCCGCGCAGTTGCTTCCTTTGCAAATCGCCACCACATGCCCGCTCTTCAGCAATTCCACTGAAAGTAAGCTGTGCATTCAAATAAAATAAAGAAAAGACAGTGGCCATGAGTGATGACCCATGCTGACAAATAGCTATAGTTCTGTCTGCCTCTTCCATTCTCCTCCTTGCAGCTTTCAGCGTGCTTGCTGGCACAAAAGGAGTGAGAAAATGCTTGAAGCGTGCGTGTGGCAGATCACTTAACTGCTCGTACTTGACGGATTCTAAAAATTTTAACGGCAGTTAGAGTGACAATGAGCTCCATTAAGGAAGTCATTTGATGATTGCTAGGACAAATGTTGCAGGGGCCCTTAAATATCATGCAGGATACACAAGAGGCCATACAGAATAAAGCTCAAAGTTTAGGCAGCCCCTGGGGTTGCTTTATTACAAATTCCTTGGTCAATATGTAACAGTTTGTGTCGTATGCAAAAGTTCGATCTGTGAAGAACACTATGTTTAGCAAATACTCTTGTACCCAAACTAGTACCATTACAATAGACAGCAAAATAATGTACTACCCCTATAGCTTCAATGCAAATGTCTGCTGAAGATTGCAGTTGGAACATGTGGCAATGAAAATGATAAATTTTGTCAAAATGTTCTTATTTAATGTTTATTTTCTTTGCAATCCTAAGGCCATCTGTTCTGTCGTGGCATAATATTAGAACAAGAAAGGCAGCGGATATAGAGAAAAAAAGCACTTTACATGTGTGCTGCCATCAAACAGTACAACGAAGTAGATGTTCAGAAAATGCACACCTTGCAGCTTCCCCTTGGCACAGTGCCACCATCTTGGTATTATTGTAAAGAGAACAGATCGGAGCTCAGGGCAGCCACAAACCTACATTTCTCCCATGAAAAAGCAGAACCAGCCCTGTTCTGAGTTCTGTGTTTTTAGCTTTGGGCAGCATTTTCTTACAGCTGTTTTCCCAGCTTCCATTTTACAGCGAAAGTTGTTGTGAGATCACTTTTCGGGTCACACGCAGTTGCACGTTGTTCGTCGCCGCCGCCGGTGTCCGTAACCACATAATGCGAAATTAGAAAAAAAAAAAAAAAAAAAAACTTGCACCAATGACTCAGTGGAGCTTGAACCCGGGTCCGCTAGGTGCCAGCCCAATATTCTACCACTGAGTTACGCCGGTGCTTGTAACTTGTTGTCAAACTTGCCTTAGGCAGGCATGACCTAGCACCAATGGCACAGTGGGGATCGAACCTGGGTCCGCTGGGTGCCAGCTCAGTATTCTATCACTAAGCTACACAGGTGCTTGTGAGTTGTTGTCAAAGTTGCCTTAGGCAGGCTTGATGTCAAGAAAGCAATCGCGTTAATACAACTGATAAAGCGTTTTAAACAGCGAAACAACAACTAGTCGTCCCACAATGCGAATAGCGCAACGAGTGGGCCGCCCGATGCTCCAACCCATTACAAAATCTTGTTCTTGTTTCCAGATTAACAGCGGCGCATACCCAATTCAGCCTTAATTCCTCATCATCGTCAGCCAACCCATTACAAAATCTTGTTCTTGTTTCCAGATTAACAGCGGCGCATACCCAATTCAGCCTTAATTCCTCATCATCGTCAGCCACTGCATGGACAATTGGCATGAAGTTCTTTACAAGTGTTTAGCGGACACCACGCTTCTCTGAAGAATGACGAAAAAGAGCATAGCAAATGCCGGCCTACTACCCAAAAGCTTATTATTAATGCCCTAGTGGGTACCAAGCAAGTGTGCTTGCAGTAGTTACCCAATGAGTATTTTGAAAAGGCTCTGAAAGGCCGCTCTTCTAGCTTTTGCTGTGACTGTGCTAGGCCTACAGCGCAGGCCTGGCATTCTTTTTTTTGCGCAGTTGCTGTTAATCACCCCTATACCATTTTATGACAAGTAAAGATATTGCACTAAGATCTTGAAACATTCCCGAGTGCTGTAAGGCTGCTCTTATTTGTCTGCATGCTGTACAGATTTGTTAAAATTGCCTTTCTGTAAAAGTAGTAATTAAGAAAATATGTCAAAGGACATTTCAAGAATTTCTTGTGTGCTCACCAGAATGTTAAAAAATAAACCATTAGCTTCATGGAACGGAATGTGACTTTGGGAATATGGTTACACAAAAATCTTCACAAACAAATGTCGAATGAATCAATTATCTTGGATCTAAATAGTAGAATGCTGGGCCAGCTGGTGCAACATAATGCGGAAATATGTGAGTGTACAAGGTAGAAGGAAGGAAAGAACCTGACAGGAAAGATGCTCACTTACAACTGCAGTTTTATTAGAAAATTTTTTGCCCAAGAACACCGAAACGCGCATGCGCAGCCAATTATCATCAAGAAATCCTTTTTGAAAGAAATATACTTTTTTAGTGTGTAGGGAACATTTCAGAAAGAAGATAAATAGGACATAGTGCACTCTTATCAGTGCGCTCTGTCCTATTTGTGCGCTCTGCCTTAGCTGTATTCTTTCTGAAACGTTCCCCGCGCACTAAGAAAGTATATTTCTTTCAAAAATACAATACCAACCAGCCCAAGTAACCACTCTTTTATAAGAAATGTCGCCCCACAAATTTTTGTGCAAAGAATTTTTCAAATAAAACTGCAGCTCTAAGTGAGTCTCATCCCTGTCAAGTTCTTTGCTTCCTTCTACCTTGTGTGCTCACATATTTCCACATTATTTATCAGATGACCACAACAGCCTAGAAGTAGTTATAACTTGAACAACGACAACAAATAGCTCAGAAGTGGTTTCAGTTTTGATGTAAGCATAGCAAATCTCATTTACCTGCCAAATTTCATCACTTAATTTTTTTAAATAACAACAACAAAAAAAAAATCAACACATATCCGCGAAGTGAATGCTGATGATGGGGTGAAGCAGTGTGTATTGGATCTTGAATAGGGAGGGGCCTTTCATTTTCTTCTCCTCAACAGCCTTTTAGTTTGTTCTTTCTAAACATTTGCTCTGCCATATGCTTTGTATAGTGGGTGGTTAAATGTCGGTGTTTTTATGGTGTTGTGGTTTTTTATTTTGTTTGTTCCGGCGAACAACCTTTTGATAACGTTTTTGTTCTTCACAGATGTTTCGGTTTGTTCACATGCACCTGTGCTACATTTGCTATAGACGCGGAACGGCGATTTACAGCCACTGTGCGGTCTTAAGGGGCTTCGTCCCTTAAAGCACTAGGCCCTCAAAATTTAACTAGTGCATACAAGAAAAAGCCACGAAGCCAAATTATTAGACTGGTAGCAATGTCCTGTGCAAATTATAGAGAGGACTAGTGAATGATGGTGCTCACCTATTGTGACTGGTGAGCGATTCTGGGTGGTCCGGTTCATTGCGTCTGGCATCGGCCGCAATGTGACATTGGGTGGGTTTGGCTGCACAGGAGTGGGGGGATAGTAAACAAATAAGGGAAAATTGTTCAGAACCAATGCACATATTGTAATCTACGCGAAAAAGTTCTTCAGCATACATAATGGTGCACTACGCTGTACTATATAAGCGTACACATTAATCCTGCCAGCATATGCAAATACATTAAACGCTCAGTAAATGAAAAGCTCAAAGAAAATTGCTGCTTAAATGGAACAACTGCCTCTAACACAATTGGTTTCCAACTAGAAACCATACAGGGTAAAGCTCTTACTTATAAATCACTTTTCTATTGGCATCTTACCTATTGCTTTTTTTGGCATGGCAGCCTACAACAAGCATGAACTTGCAAAAACTGTACCTGATACAAACAAAGTAAATTAGAATTATCTCTAACTTATCGTATGATGCTCACACTGGTGTATTGTTCTGACAGGCTGAGATACTACCCGTCCATCACCTCTACTATTCTATAATTTGCATAGGCAATCAGGCGTGAAGCGAAAGAAAGCAGACATTTTTTGCATGACCTTTCAAAACTACAGCCAAAAGCTACGTTGTGCGATACATGAAATAAACAAACATGGAAAATAAAATCTTCCAAAACAAACTATTCTAAATATAAGTTATCCTACAATACTTACAAACACAGTCGAACCCACTTATAATGATCCCAGATATAACGATCTATCGGTTATAACGACATATTGCAGTGCACTTAATATTTTCCTATGCTATCCTTACAAAACTCAGTCCACATACAGTGTACATTTTTCAAAGCCTCCTACTTTTCCAATGAACACTTTGGACACGGTTGCAGTAAAAATATGGCCCACACGAAGCAAAAAAAAAAAAAGTTAAAAAAGGCATTTCAAAGCATGTGATTGGCACTCCCTTACGAATACCTCGCTGCAGATTACTTGCGACAAAGATATCATAGACCACGGTGAGCACCGCATGTAGATTTCGAACGTTGTGAGCCAAGTCACTCACTTTCCAGGCGTTCATCAGCAGAATGGAAATGAGAAAAAAAAATTAAAAGAAATAGGAGACTTACGGCCAGCTTTCAAACAGCAAACTTTTCCAACGCCGTTTTCAGCCTCTATTCTATGACCACCGATGATTAACCAACCATGCCTTCGAACGCAGAAGCGTCAACTTTTTGTCGCATAAAAGGTCACTGCGACCATAAACTCTGCGACATCACAATGCGCCCAAAGCGTTAACTTTTTGTCGCATAAAAGTTCACTGTGACATGCAACTCTCTGACATCATAATGTGCCGCAAAACGTTTTCCACCTTTCGGTAAAGGCAAAAATTGGCCGTTTAGTAATAACAACTTTCATGCGGATGAGGCAGATAAGCAACAGAAAAAAGTGATAGCAAGGTGGCCGGTGACAATGAACGTGCACCGTTGACACATCACCGGCAACCTTATCACAGTCATTTGAAGATATCTGTTCTGCGGAGTGATGGGTGTACAAGCGCATCATGCTGCCGTTTGCAAATTAGCCACCGCCGCGTCGTGCGAGGCCTCTTGCACATGTTGATTGTGAAATCAGCTTTCATTGCATTAAATGGACAGGCTACTCACTGCACCCAAGCACGATACCGAGTGAAGCATGCACAAAGAATGCACAAACACGCATAATGAACTGCAAACGACCCGGCAAGCGACGACGAGTCAAGTAGCGATACGCTGCATGCAACTATCCAGGGACCATTGCTCCGACGTGACGGTACCATCCATTGTGAATGTGGTTATATTCACTTTTGAACACAAAATGGGTGTCGTTTTAACACATGAAAAGGCGAGACGCTCCTCGAAAAAGTTAAGGGGAGACGCTCCTCGAAAAAGTTTTTTTTTTATTTCTAGTAATAGAGACTTGAAAAGTTTGTTATTAGTATAGTTTTTCATGCAGATTTCAAATATGCAATAATTTTTTGTGTAGCTGCTATAATTATTGAGTTATGCCATAAACAATAGCAAAAAGTTACATTTTTTGCGGGCACTCTTTTATGTACTAAACTTTCAGTAAAAGCACTGTGTCTGATCTTATTTGACTCTTGGTAGATTGAAAAGTGCAAATATCTATATAGATATGTCACAGAAATATTGGAACCAAGAAAAAAAAAATTGTATTGAATGACTTATTATTTTCAATCTCCCTTGAAACAATAAGCTAATATTTTCACAACTAATGCTGGTAGGCATTGCAATTTAGAGTAGATATTTGCATTCTGCATGTGTTGAAGAATATGTGTGCCAAGTTTCGTTACTATACAATGAATATAAGTTTCCAAAAGGCTGCCCGGAAAACGTGAAACTGTCAGAAAAAATGAAAATGAGAAAAACAAGTTTGAAAGTTCGCAAAGTTGGCATTTATTAGGAAATCATTCTTTTTGCATCAAATTGGGGCACAATGAAAAGTACCTTGCCTTGAATGCACTGCAAGTGTCTAGAAGTCCCCTGTACCATAGTTTGGTCCTTCACGGCTCTTGCGGTCAGTGTCCTCAACACGAGCTCTCTTCGCTGTGTTGCGACGGTGTGCCCTCGCTTCTGCAGTTTGCTTCAGGTTCATCTTCCTGATGCGCATGACGTCACAGTGGTCACCATGTGTGGCCAGATCTTGTGAGGGGAGAATTCCAATGCTTTCCGGCACTTCTTCAAGGCCCCTGTGGCCTTTGTTGTACCAGAGTACAGCAAGAGCGGTGGCTGTCTCCACAGTTGTTCTGGAGGCGAACTTTGTTTTTGGACATAGCAGCCATATCTTGCTGTTTAGCGATTCGGCTGCATTCTGTGTCTTGCCATGAAGGCACCGAATAAGGAGTTTCTCCTCTGTAAGGCGCTTGTAGATAGGCATAATTGCCAATCCTTGAGCCTTCGTCAACAGTGGGGTGTGGCGTGGTGCAGGCTCCCCCAGTGCTTCCGCACGCTTGTGCTTGCACCACGAATTTGGTCCCGCGGGGCAAAAGTTGTGGATACTGGCACCATCACTGGAGCAGCAATGAAAATACGATGCCCATATGACAGTGTACATATTTCGGACACTGTCCTTGTTGCTCGTGATGGCGATCTTGTAATATGTTTGTAGTTTTATTATTGTCGCATTTTTCAGTTTTTCGCCTCGTGGCAGTGGCGTTGCCAATTTCCGTAGGGCAGTTCCCAAGCGCTTTGCAACGTGGTTCGTGCACTCTTCTTTGTCAATGGGGGTGTCACAGTATACATTCGCCTCGCAGACTGCAGTGTAGGCCTTGCTGTCATCATCACTTAGGAAGCTGGTGAATCGCAGTGGAGTTTCATAAGACAAGGTCCTCTGCCATATATTGACAGCTGCCGCAGGTTCCATTGCATGGGATGAGCAGTCAAGTGTTTTTTTGGCAAACTGGAAGATGAAAAGCTCGCCATATCTCTTCATCCTCTCCAAGGTCCCTGTGTATACTGCAAGCATGGCAGTAGTTCGAAAGAATTTCAAAATCGAGGCAGAGCTCCGTGTCCAGGGACACGACTGTGCCCACTCCATTGTGGCTTTTATGACCTCTTTTCTGCCAGGTGCCATCAAACATGACTGGCACATCTCTGCCGCCGACTGCGTCCTTCGTGATGTTTCGTGCCTGGTGCAAGTTTTTGCTCACTGCCGTCATCGCCGCACCATGGAGCTTCTTGCAAATGCCGTTGAATGTCTTGTGACGCATCGGGCTCGGAAGACCGAGAATCGCACAAAATCGTGAAAGTTGGTCGTGGCCTGCGCCTATAGCGCGTGCTGCCAGAACTGCCTTCACGTTTACAGCAAAGCTGTCACGCGAGCTGCCGCTGTCAAAACGAGCGCTCGTTCCTTGGTCCCCGGCCGAAGCAGTACGTCTCGACGTGTGCGTGAACGAAAGTGTAGATTCAGGGCAATCTGAATTTTGACAGCACAGTTTGAGGAATGCCGAAAGTCCTTTGCGCTTTCCAGTTGCCTCTCGCACGCCGAGCTTCCGTTCGCGGCAGGTTGGGCATTGCGCACCCGCCACAAGTGCCGTCAGCGCATCTATTTCGCAAAGCAGCATGTTCGCAGTAGCAGCATCTACCGGTCTACGTTCACTCTCGAAGAATCCAATCTTTCTTTGGGATGCACTGACGAATTCCACGGCAGCGGCTATTTCACAACCACTGTCGCAGGGTTCGGTGACGGTGTTAGGCCTATCCGAAGTCGGAGCGTCGGGGCGTTGGTCGGGGGCGACATCGTCGTTCGCTGTCGCTTTGCGAAGCGTCCGACGCCGTTTCCCTCGATACTTGTGGCGAGTTCTGAACGTTCGATTATCTAAACTGCACTTATTCGGGCTTGCCATGACGCAAAGATGCAGAGAAACGCAGAAAAACTCGATCGCGACGTCCGAGGCTTCGCTCTTTTCGGAGAGATAGGAGGGGGAGGAGCGTGGAGCGCACCGCTGTCCAATGGCGGCCTCGCGCTGTGTGCCGCGATATTCAAAACGCGTGACGTACGCGTTGTTTTTCTCGTTTTTGTTTATTCTGCGTGAAGGCACAAGACTGGCTACTAGTGGATTATGAAGGATACGGCCTTCGCAGCATGCGTGCACGATTGCAAATGGCGGCCAACGCGTCGTTTTCGCGACAGGACGACGCGAACTTCGCCGTTTTTCGCGACTTTCGCGCATTTCTCGCGTCACCGCTGCCCACTTGGAAGCATTTTTTGATAATTTCTCGTGCGAATTTCAGCTTGATATTTTCAGAAGTAATAGATTATAGTCCAAGGATGCCAATACAGCCGAAAAAAAAAAGCGAAAATTTTCCGGAAAACCGCGACTTTTCGACCCGCGGCTCCCCTTAAGTTACAACTGTGGAACTTTCACCAAGCAATATGTTGCAAACTGGCACCATGGACTGGTTCGAGTGGCCATGCTAATTTTTTACGCAGGTTGCTCTGGCATGACAATGGGATTAGCCCCTCAAAGTTCATATTGACAATGTAGACCATGATATGTCTGCAGTATTTGCCAAAGC